TGTATATATAAACTCTTCTCTGTTATCACCAGATGTCTATTATCTCTAGTTTTTTTCTAAAGTTCTGTTCAGGCCCTTAACCTCTTTCTTATTTAACTTTTTTTTAGATCTACCTAAGTATGAAAGGGGGTACTTTAAAGTGTCCCACTATCACAGTTTTACTATTTCTCCCTATAATTCCAGCTTTTCCTTTAAATATTTAGATGTTATGCTGCTCAAAGCAGATAGTTGATATTACTTCATTATCTATTGTTTCCTTAAGTATAATGTAGTTTCCCTGTTTATCTGTTTATTTTATCTATTTTTAGTATAACATTATTTGAACATCATGATTGCCATCTCTGCTTTTTTTTTAAATTTAGCTGAAGCTTTTTTTTTTTACTCCAAATCCTCACTGTAACTTAATGAGAATCTTTATGTTTCAAGTGTGTTCCCTATTAACATCATACTGTTGGATTCTGCTTTCTATTCCATGCTGCTGTCCTCTTCCATTTTATGGATGAGTTCATTCCATTCACATTCATTATTACAACTGCTAATGTATATTCCTCTACACTGTCATCCTATATGTTTTTCTTTGTTTTTTCCTACCTCTTCCCTTTACATTTAAGAAGAAGGTGGTAAAAGAGATAGAATTTGCCTATGTCATTGCTTGGTCAGTGACATAATGTTTCTACCCCATTGCGCCTATTCTTTTACCCTTGATCCTAGGTTTTTACCCTTTGTTCCTTTCCTTTTAATCTCCCTTCATGTTCATCCTTCTGATGATGGGAGTTTTGTTTTCTTATGACCACTCCTTTATCTATCATGCCTTCCCTCTTAAACCCCCCTTTCTCCCTCTCCCATCTTCCTGTCATCTTCTATTTCCCTTTTGAGTTCAACATGTTTCTATACCATGAACTTTATGTGTCTGGAGGGAATGGTGTTATAAGTGTGCTCAAACTTCCTTTGACTAGTTCCAATGAAAGTGAGATGTCTATTTCCCCCACCCCTTCCTCCGTGATTGAATATTCTTCATCTTACGCATTTCTATTAGGTAATATTTATTTCCTTCTCCTTTGTCCTTTTTTCCTCTCCAGCATAATGCCCTATTCCCTCATTTATGTCTTCTTCTAGGACCATCAAAACAGAACAAAACACCTTAAGCCCTCTATATGTCTGGTTTACTTTTGTCTGTGTCCCTTGAAGATATTAGGATTATGAGAAGATATTTGTTTATTATCCCCATTAGAATGGAAATGATTCAGCCCCACAAAGTCCCTTCTAATTGATCAAATGTGTGTACCTTTCTATGTTTAACTTGGCTCCTGCAGTCCCACTTCAAAAATTCCACTTCTGACCTTTTTATTGGGCATGCTTAGAAATACTCTGTTTCATTAAAGGTCCATTTCTACCCTCGTGCACTCAGTTTTAGCCAATATATTATTCTTAGTTGTAAGCCTTTAAAAAAAAATGGTATTACAAGTTTACTCCTCTTCTTCATAGTGATAGCTGCCAAGTCTTGTGTGATTCTGATTGTGCCTCCTTAGAACTTGAATACTTTCATTCAGGCTTCTTAGAGTATTTTTTCTTTAACCTAGAATCTCTGGATTTTGTATAACATTCCTGAAGGTTTTCATTTGGATTCTTTCTATTTTTACTTTGCCTTCTGGTTCTAAAAGATTTGGTAAGTTTTCATTTATGATTTCTTGAAGTATCATATATAAGCTTTTTTTGGTCATGATTTTCAGGCAGGCTTAGATTTCAAACAGATTTTTGAATTATCTCTACTTGACTAACCTGCTTTCCAGGTCAGTTGTTTGTAATATCATATTCCTTATATTTTATTTTGTTTTTCTGAATTTGTTTTATTATTTCTCATCCCTTTGAGTGATCTCTTTCTCCACCGTAATATTTAGGGTATTCAGTTTATTTAGGCAATAAGGTTTACCACATATTTCCTGAGGTATTTTATTCTTCTTGCCATTCTTTTATCCCTAGCTATTCTATTTTGTATTTTATATCATGCCTTTGATGTACCCTTATAATCCTTGTGGCTAGGATTTTTTTCCCTTGAGGCTCTACTTAGACTTGTTGTGGAGTTTACCCTCTTCTTTGGAGTTTACTCTTGGGCATCTCTCAATTCATGGTATTTCTTCACAGTAATTGCTGTTTTCTTTTGTTTGTTCATATCACTAGCCTTAATATCTGGGTTGGAGCTTTGAGCTTGGACCAAACTCTGCTCCTGAACTCCTGGATGGTATGGGTAGGCCTTGTATTATCCTGATTTGGGTGGCTAAGGATAGGCCCCACCTTCCACAGGGATTATTTGGCCTTAACTCCTGCTGTAGTTCAGGCCCAGGCTGCCCGAATGCTAAGTTAGGATGGGGCTGCTGCATAGGGCATTTCTTTTTCCTATGGTCAGGGCTCCAACGTATTTTTCTCTTGCTACCATAGCACTGGGAGGCCACTCTGAGACCAATCACTTCCTAGGGTTCTTTCTTCCCCCTTTTATTTGTCACAGTGTTCCAGACCTTGTTTCACTGTTCTCTGCACAAGGTCTTTCTTCCACTGACTTCAGTCTGCTTTCTGTTGCACCCTTCTTATGCTCTGGCTTGCCGACATTCAGGATGTCTGCGGAATTCTGGCAGTATTTTTGTGTAGTCCTGGACAAGGTGGAGGACTTTGGAGCTAATTCTCTTTATTATTTTTTTTTTAATCTGATGCATTTCTAACTTTACTGGTATGCTTTGCAGAGATCTGGGCTCTTCCAGGTCCTAAAATCATATTACCTTCCTTCAATGCCTGTCCTTTAATTAATAAGATTTTCTCTTGTGCTTATTTTGGATTTTACTTCCTAATTTAAAAAAAATGCATATGCTCCTTTCTTTTTTCTATTCTGTTCATATGTTGGAGACGGAGGAGGCTAGAAGCAGAGAAATCAACTGGGAAGTGATTCTCTAAGCAAGTATTGATGAAGTAAGACAAATAAAACTTTCAGGTTTCCAAACCATGTAACAGCTTAAGAGGGTAGCAGTGTCCAAAAGAAATAGAGAAGTTTGGAGGAGTGAAGTACTTGAGGAGAGAAGATGATGAATTAAGTTTTGGGGTTTTTTGGGGGGGGTTGGGGTTTTTTTTGTTTGTTTTTTGGTGAGGCAATTGGGGTTAAGTGACTTGCCCAGGGTCACACAGTCAGCAAGTGTTAAGTGTCTGAGGCTGGATTTGAACTTAGGTTCTCCTGATTCCAAGGCCAGAGGCTCTATTCACTGCTCCATCTAGCTGCCCCCAAATTAAGTTTTGACATGTTGAATTTGAGGCAACGGTAGGACATCCCAGGCAGAAATATCTGACAGCAATTGGAGAGGCAGGACTGGCATTCAGGAGAGACACTAGGTCTAAATACATAGATTTATACAGAAGTCATCTAATACGACAATTTCTTTCTACAGATAAGACATATCACCGTGCTATGGGAAGGAAGTGACATGTCCAAAGGCAGAATTCATATTACCTGACTCTGAACCAGGGTTCTTTCCAACATACTTAATAAATGTCTAGGTTGGAACATTTAACTTTTCTTTAGTATCCAGTAACTTCCAAAGAAATTCTGCTTCAGTATGGGAATTAATCACATGCCTCCCAAGTAGCCTGTCAATGGTAGGAAAGAAATAAAAGGAAGAAAGCAGGTACACAGTGAAAGTATTTTAAGGGGAGAGAAAGAAAAACAGGTTGCTGGTGCTCATATCTGTCTATGGATTCAATAATTTGTGTCTGTGCCACTGACCAAAAGAGATTTTACTCACATACAAAACAATTGATATTCAGGGCCAGACTTACAGGTGGGCAGAAGAGACAATGTCTATGAACTAAGACTTTCAGTGATACTAGGAAGTCTCTCCTTCTTTAAAATACCTTGCTTCCAGTGTCTTTTTGTTAAAAAAAAAAAAACACTGTCCATTCAATGACGTAGCACACACTGCTAAGCACGTACTATGTGCCAAGTACTGTGCAATATGCCAGGGATACAAATAACATGAATGAAATAGTCCCTACCCTCAAGAGTTTACATCCTATCTGGGGAGAAAACATGCATGTGTCTAAGAAAGTGCAATCAAATGGATCTGTGATCTCATCAATTTAGGAATTCCCTCCTATACTACAAATTGCAACCCATCCCTGATTGCCTATCCTGTAAGACTCTTGTCCATGTTCTCTTGAATGGCGGCCACAGAGGCCCACCCAACATGCTGGAAACCTTTTGCTTTCTTCCCATGCCACAGGGAGACCAGTGGAGCATTCTGACTACCCGCCAGTCACCCCTCACTCTCACCACATAACCCGTCCATCTTCTTTTCCCATTATTACACGTTTTTATAGTAGAAAAAGAATTCTTCATCTGTACTTAAACCTGCCTTACCTATTTTCCCATTTATTGTATTGCTAAATGCTTACTACAGGCTAAATTCATGCACAAAAAATGTATTCCTATGTTAGAAACAAGGAAGGCCTGCCTTGTCTGTTTTATGCTGAAGAAAAGAGAAATCTCTTGTGTGCACATTTGCAAAGTCAGCAGGACCAGTGCTCTCAAATACTCAAGGCCTTGACTGTCTCTTCCATGAGTTCTTACAAATGTTGCCATTCAGAACTGTGCCCCTCTCTTTTGGACGTGAACATCTCCCCCACTCCCTCCTCTGTGTGGCTCCCAAAGACTTCTTGATCTCATCTGTGCTGCTTAAGTGCAGAATCCCCAGACTGTGGACCTGGGGGAGTGTCCACTATATCCTTCTCCTCACCTCAGAGTAAACCCCCTTGCTCCCCATCCCTGACGCAGTTCCCCTTGATTGTGCAAACAGGTCATTATATTCACTAGCACTTTGGGATCCACTGCTCTGAAAAGGGAGGAAATCCTCCAGCTATACAACCGTAAGAAATAACCTCAAACAATTTGCCCGAAAACCATAATCATGGTCTTGTTTGTGCCACAACACGTTTTAATGTTAAAAAAAAGCACAGTGTCACACCTCTCAGCAAATTCATCTTGGTTAAAGAAGTCATGGTGCAGGAGCTCATCACAGAAGGGCCTTTGGTCAGGATCAATCTGTAAACATTTCTGAAACACCAAGAAAAGTCTTTATTCAAAACAAAGAAAAAAATGTCTACAGTAAGAGGGGTGTCCTACATCCCTTGGTCAAAGAGGCATCCTCTCCTGAGTCGAGTGTCAGGTCATGGACCTGCTCCCTCGTCACAGTAACTGGAGGTGACGAGTATGGGACATCCTTCTGCCATATTTGTGTTTATCACTAAAGGGAATGCATGGCGTGAGGGGCTCCTAATGCCCTAAAATATTTAATTTTAAATAACAAAGGGTAACTGTAAAAATGAAACAATTATCAGGAGGCTAAAAACCTGTACCAGTTATGTCAAAAGACAATTTCTCCAGTGGAAGATGACAGAGATAGGATTGAAGGAAGAGCAATAGATTGAGGCATATCCCAACCTTCTCTTTTCCCTACTCAAGTCAACCCATTAAGTGCCTGCTAGGTACCAGGCTTTACTCCCTCAAATTTCAACATGTGTTATTATAGTAAAAAGAAGTCTGAAAAATAAAGACCCATGCTCTACAAATAAGCTTAATTAATAATGATTAATAATTGGTTAATATGTAATATTAATAATTGGTTAATAATATCTCAGAGTTTCCCACTTACATGTATTTTTAGGGCAGGGGTTTATCACACAAAAGTGTGATCTCTTTTAAGCACCTATTATATTACTATCATTTAATCTAGACAATGCAACACAATTATAGCGTGTACACACACACACACACACACACACACACACACACACACACCCCAAAACAAAACACTGTATACTGAACTGGAAAGAGTTCTAGCCTTGAAATCAAGTCAGATGCTGCTGCCTGAGGCTCCCCTTTGCTACTTATTAACAGGATACAAGGCTTTGAACAGAGTAACCAAGTGCTTACTAAATAAATACTTACTGATTTGAGTAAAGCATTTCAACACTGAGTCTCAGTATCCTCTTCTGTAAAATGAGGATTATAATATCTACCTGCACTTTATAAACTGCACAAAGCTGTCTCTCAAAGACACACAAGCAGTCTGGCTGAATAGCATTCTATTGGACATTATCCCTAGCATTTTTCTCTCAACCACAACCAAACTCACATAATCCAGAACTTTTTAAAGAGAAAAATAAGTAGGAATAAATATTATATCTGTCATCAGAATCCATATCTTTTCCTAACATAAAATAACACAGACCACATGGATTTACATGTGCCATTTTTTTAAAGCACTTTCCAGAAACAGATTCAATCATGGGTTATAGAGATTTCACCTTCACATTATATCTATATGATGTATGCTATTAATATCAGGTTACATCTAGGGTCTTTTCACACAGATTTTCCCACACAGGAACCCAGGAATTACCAAATAAATCAAACTCACAGCCCAATGGGCCCCAGATTCTGTTCCTAACCAAGGCTTAACATGGAAAGTGCAAAATTGTCTTCCTGGAAGTGAGCTTGATCTTGAGAGTTTTTCTCTTGTATACAAGTTTTGTCCCCATTTCACTGCTGAGACTGAGTTCCATAAATGAATAATAGCAAAAGACAACCACTTCTGATTCATCCCATTTTGGTCAAATTCCAAAGGCATCCCCTCCTCCTGATATTTCCAGATTTGGTAAACAAGTGCAGAGTCACCTCACCCATGACAACCACAGTTTTATGGTTTTCAGCCAAGTACCCTTGTCCTTTCTATGGTGAAGAGACCCTCTCAATGCCCTTCTCCGGTCCATCACTTCTCAAGCTTCTGGAAGAAATGATTATTTCTCTCTTGTATTAATAGTTAATTATTCTATCAGGACCAAGGTTTTTCTACTTCCGCATCCAGACAACAACCAGTGTGAGAAATCTTGGGCAAAGACTGTGGATTCCTGCTTATTGCATTTACTCAGATGGGTCTGGGAAAATGTGGATTCTCCCTTTTGTCAGAAAGGTGATATGGAAATTGATAAGTCTCCTTGATCACGACCTGGGTGATCCAAATCACTGCTTCAAGACCCTCATTGTAATATAGCCCACCTCTCATAGTAATATTCATCCTCTCATTAATTGTTAACCAAGCAGAGTTGACTGCCACCCTCAGTTAACACCTACTCTTCTAAGAGCATATAACCTGTGAGCCCACCACCATGAGGGGTGTCTGGCATTTGAGAGTGCCACTGACCTTTTTTATTAATAAACATGCTAGCCTTATTAATAAAATGATTAAATTACCCAGCAATTATTTCTCTCAAACTTTTAAAATGTTAGACTTCCATGCCCTTTCTTTCTCAAGGTGTAGGGATCAGAACCATACATAATATTCCAGGAGCAGAAGCATCATAAGGATAAAACGGTATTTTCTCTTGTATTTCCAACACCCTTCTAAGTGAATCTGAGCTTCCGGTGGGCTTCTGTGTACCTGGAAGGGCAGAGGAAGGACCAGGTTTGGAAACCATCAATATTAGCAACAACAACAACTCAGTTATGTGCTACCTGGAGGTTTCCTAAGCAACCAAAGCCTGGGTAGGGCCCAGCTTCTAAGAACGCTTCCCCTTATGGAGATTGGAGCTAATGATAATTTTTCTATTTATTTCGCAGGATTGTTTCAAAAACCAAGACCCAGGGAAGGAAAAAAGGCCTTTCAAAATCCATTCCAGCCTCCTAGCAGAACCAAAAAAAGCAGGCTGGCCCCTTACCTTTGCCATATCGATCACAACTGGAGGGAGCTTTGGGCAGCGGCTTCCAAGAGAGCTGCCTTCTTCAACTTCAGGCAAGTTCATACTGGCAAAGACTGGGTTCTCATAGAACAGCTCCTGATGTCTTGGAATTAAATTACCTGAAAGCAAAAACAGCACTCAGTAACCACACATAGTAATAACAGCTAATATTTATATAGTAGCTTAAGGTTTATAAAGCACTTTACAAAGTTTCCTAGCTTAAACCTCACAAAAACCCTGAGAGATAAGTGCTACTATTACTATTATTTTTATTTTACAAATAGGAAAATGAGGCACACAAGTAGTGTCCTGAGGCCAGATCTGAACCCAGGTCTTTCTGACTCCAAGCCCAACACTTTGTCTACTACATCTGCATAGAGAGAGAATACAGATGACCAAAAAATGTAGATTTGTGAGGCTTGGGCTCTAAAATCATGTAAAAATCAGCAAATGTAATACATATGTTAGGTGTCAGGTAACCAGGGTGCTAAAAGTAAGTCAGGTTTTACTTGTTTTTCAATTGAGTCTGACTCTTCATGACCCCATTTGAGGTTTTCTTGGCAAAGATACTGGAGTGGTTTGCCATTTCCTTCTCCAGATCATTTTACAATGAAGCAACTGAGGCAAACAGGGTCAAGTGACTTGCCCAGAGTCACATAGCTAGGAAGTGTCTGATGTCAGATTTGAACTCATGAAGGTGAGTCTTCCTGACTCCAGGGTCAGTGCTCTATGCACTATGGCACCACCTAGCTGCCCAAAAGTAGGTCATAATTATTCTTTATTAAGAGTTTTAGGGCAGCTAGGTGGCACAGTGGATGGAGCACTGGCCCTGAAGTCAGGAGGACCTGAGTTCAAATCTGACCTCAGACTAAGACACTTGACACTTACTAGCTGTGTGACCCTGGGCAAGTCACTTAACCCCAATTGCCTAAAAAACTTTAAAAATTTTTTAAAAAAAAGGATTTCAGAGGCACCATGGCCTCTGAAGAGAGAAGGTAGCCTCAGAATCAGGAAGACCCAGGTTCAAGCTCTGCCTCTGTGAGGTCATCCTGGATAGGTCACAAGCTCTCTGTGCCCAAGGCATCTCTCTTGTACTCTAAATTGTAGAATTACCGCCAAACCACATTGGTAGAGGACTTTCCTCATCAAGAATGCCCATGACATCACAATGCCAATGATATCACAACTCAAAAAAAATTTTTTCCTATTGACTTTGTATCTCAGTAACCAAGGCTATATCTCAACATCTCTCTATGGAAAATGTGAAACATTAAGAAATTCTTACACTACTAGATTTCTATCTTAGACATGCGATGTCCACTATTGATTTCCAAAGAAAACTAGATCATCCAACAAAATTACTCTTTTATTTCTATTTTCCAAACTCTAGATTCAATATATGTATGAAGAATCTGATGGTCAATCTTTGGGATTGTCCCAGACTGCAGAAGAACCCATCATTTTGTACAATTATTCTTCCTCACACAAAGAGGGAGCAGGGATGTAATCTAAAAGGGATGTAACTGGCATCAAAATCAACCTGAAAAAAATATCAGTTGTTGACTAACTTGGCTTTCACATGTCATTGGTGGTAAAATTGAAATGCAAGTAGAAAGTCTTACCCAAACATTTCACAATATGATATAGTTGATCGATGTCAGAATTCCCCGGAAAAAGGGGTCTCCCCGTGAACATTTCAATCAACAAACAACCAATAGCCCATATATCAACGGCCCTGGAAGAAATGGAAAAATAAGGTGCAAGAAGCTCGGGAATCTACAATTTACTTAACGTAATAGTCACTGCAACTTAACATGTCCTGCCTATTACTTTATACTCTTGGTACTTAGAATCGTATCCAAATATATCAAATTACTCATGAAAATAATTTTCTATCCAAACCCCACTAAACTCAGAGGATAAACTTCTGGCAATCTTAACCAACTGAATATTGCCAAAGAATCAGAAGTAAATAAAAAAAAAAACCTCTGAATCCAAAATACCTGTCATGATGTCCATGAATTTTATTTTCTATGAGAATACCTTTGACCCTCAGAATCTTTTTTTTTTTACATTGCACAAAGTTCTACCTGTAGTCCTTAACTTAGGGTCCACAGACTCTCAAATGGTCAGCAGGGAGATGTCAAAGGAGTCTGTGAAGTTGAATGAGAAAAAATTACATCTTCATTTTCGCTAATATCTACCTGAAATTTACCATATTTTCTTCTATTATTTAAAAATATTATTTTGAGAAGGCTTCACCTTGGGATGGGTCCCCAGGGTCTGTGATCCAAAAGAGGTTATGAACTTCCACTTTTATTTACTTATTTATTTTAGTGAGGCAATTGGGGTTAAGTGACTTGCCCAGAGTCACACAGCTAGCGAGTGTTATGTGTTTCAGGCCGGATTTGAACTCAGGTACTCCTGACTTCAGGGCCAGTGCTCTATCCACTGCACCACCTAGCTGCCCCCTGAACTTCTACTTTTAATAGGTCATTAAAAGCAAGGGAGGACCCATTTCAGTATTGGAGGAAATTAGAAAGCAGAGAGAAGAGACCAAGAGGGTGTGAAATATAAAAAGCAGACATAAAAAAATCTATCAAAAAATGGTTAAAATAAAGATATTTTGATGTCTACAAGGAATCATCAGTTATCTGAAAAAAAGGAGCTTGTGTGAAATCTCTTTCCAGATAGTGGTAGAAAATTGAGGATTTTATTATAATACCTTGGGATAATTTTCCCTTGTTCTTTTGAGAAAGCTCTGTGACCATAATAACATCTTTATCTTAGAGCTAATGATAATTCCACAAGAGTGATCAGGAGAGCTCCCTTGATGGGCCAGCCTGGTACCTGTGGGAATACCCCACGGAGCAGGCCTAGGGGAGGAAAGGCCTTGGCTCCTACTGATAACAAGCAACCTCTGGCTTCCTGCTGAGATCAAATGCAGCCAGATGCTGATGACTGTGGAAAGCTGGAAACTGGGTCATAAGGGGCCACTTACCCTAGAGACTTTAAGAGGAAAGACTGACCCCTCTCATACTCTCTTTGGACTGTGTCATTTGGGGTCCACAGAGATGAAAGACTTTCCTAAGAGTTGTGCTCTGAGGTAGGGTAATGAACAAGAGAGCACAAGAGAGGCCTGATCCCCAATTTTGAGGTCAGGATAGGAACCCAGATTGCAGAAGTCAGGGAGTCCAGCCTCCCGCCTCTGCACCCTCAAAGGCTAGAGAATCTCTAAAAACAAAGTTTCTGATTGACTCATGTCTAGAATATCCCCAAAACGGACTAAATCTCTTTAAAATTTAATCAATGTACAAAGTAGGTGAGGTACCAGATAACCATTAATTGCTCTATCATAAAAGAAATGCTTAAAAGACAAAAGGCTCAAGTTTGTACATTAAAATATGTCACAGTAAGCCCTCTCTTAACCTACTCTCCAGGGAGGCTGATGCCTCACATAACAGGCATTTATTTTTTTTTTATTTTTTAGGCAATTGGGGTTAAGTGACTTGCCCAGGGTCACACAGCTAGTAAGTGTCTAGTGTTTGGTCTGAGGCTGGATTTGAACTCAGGTCCTCCTGACTTCAGGGCCGGTGCTCTATCCACTGTGCCACCTAGCTGCCCCACAACAGGCATTTCTGGTGAGCTTGTGGCCAGCTCAGCCCGCAGGGCTCATCCCCTGTCAGAGGTCACCTTCTCTCAGAAGTCGCTGCAGACAACTCTTCCTGCTGGGTAAGGAGCACCTAGACCCAGGAGCTTAGAAACCCTTTGCTCTGGACTGCTGTTGGGTCACCTGTGCTCAGGGAAAGAAGCACAAAGTGTGAGTTTGAGTTCTAGTCTCAGGTTCGTCTAGGCCGCCATACATGCATGCATTTGCCATAGCCATTGGCAGGCTGGGAACAGGGGATGAAGGAGAGAAATCCCCATCTTTCCTTCTGAGAAAGAGGGTGTGTGCGTCCTAAGATAGATGTTCCAAAGGGAGGGAGAATGAGCGAGCGAGAGAAAGGGAGAGAGAGAGAGAGAGAGAGAGAGAGAGAGAGAGAGCAGTCATTCCACTGAAGTCTAAGTCCTGGCTCAGTCCCCAGTCACCATCAGCACATCCACGTCATCACAAGAGCCAAGGAATCTGTGAGGAGCCTTTAACTGCATGTTCCCCTTAGCAGGAAGCCGGAACACAGAGGTAGCCAAGGTCTGTCCCTACGTCTGCTCCATGGGAAGGAGCCCTATATGCCCATCCCATTCATGCTATCTGTGCTGGCTGCCAAAAGTCCCAATTCAGCAGATCAGGTGGAACTCCATTCCCCACATTACATTCCATCTCCCTTTAAACATGGACCATCCCAAGAAAATCAAATGGAATACATCTCGTAAAGTCACCCATATCCCCAATTCTGGAAAATTCTCAGAAGACCTAAGAAGGCTCAAGTAAAGACTGACTTTTCATAAGAAGACTCAAGTACCCTCTTTTTAAATGTCTTCCCTGAGTCTCAAGAAAGTCCATGTGGCACAATTTTTGACGGACTCCTGGATGTCATAAAGAATCCCAGCAAAAGTCCATTAGGCACAGTCCTCAGTCCCTAATAGTCTTTACTGAGAGCCCAGATCAACCACAGCTGTCAGGTCTGGAGGCTAATATCACTCCCAAATAAAATGTAATAAAATCCAAGCAACTAAAAACATTTTAGAAGGCTTTCATTGGCTATTGCCTGCCTGCTTGGTACTTTTAAGGCCCTGGTCAAACCTAAAAACAATTAGGAAAGAAAACTAAATTAAAAACAGACAAACTAACAACAACAACAATATATTTACATACTGCTCACTATGTGCTACAGTAAGCAGCATGCTTTTTAAACTCTATAATTATTATCTCATTTGACCCTCACAACCCTGTGAGGTAGGTGCTATTATCTCCATTTTACAGGTGAGAAAACTGAGGCAAACAGGGTTAAGTGAGTTGCCCAGGGTCACACAGTAAATATTTAAGGTAGGATTTGACCTCAAGTCTTCCTAACTCTAGGCCTGGTGCTCTATCCACTGTGCCACCTAGCTGCTTCTAAATGGAAAGAAGGAAGGAAGGGAGGGAGGGAGGGAGGAAGGAAGGAAAGAAGGAAGGAAGGAAGGAAGGAAGGAAAGAAGGAAGGAAGGAAGGAAGGAAGGAAGGAAGGAAGGAAGGAAGGAAAGGAGGTAGGGAGGAAGGAAGGAAGGAAGGAAGGAAGGAAGGAAGGAAGGAAGGAAGGAAGGAAGGAAGGAAGGAAGGAAGGAAGGAAGGAAAGGATGGAGGGAGGAAGGAAGGCAGGAAGGAATGAAGGAAGGCAGGAAGAACAGAAGGAAGGAAGGAAGGAAAGAGGGAGAGAGGGAGGAGGAAGGGAAGAAAGGAAAGGAAAATGGAAAGAAAGAAAAAAATAAGGAAAAGGATGAGAAGTGAAAAGAAAAGAAAAGTGCTTACCCTTTTTGAGGGAAAGCATAGTCCCAGAGCTCATGAAAATCTCCCAACACAGACTAGGGACCTGAGGTGGACTGAAAAATCATCCCTTGACCCTCAGGTAAGAAAAACTCTCCCAGGTGAAAATTCTTCCATGGATTCTTCCAGCACATGGCCAATCCATACCCTTCTCCAACAGATCCTTGTCAACGCATACAGCAATTTGGATAGAGGTCCAGAAAAAAATCTCTCCAGGAATCCCTGCAAAATATAGGGCACCCATTTTTTCTTCCAATGGATCTCTGTAAAACCACAGGACATTCAAAATGGAGGTCCAAACTGACTCGACAAAAGAACAAGCAGACTATTTCAAAAAAGAAAAATCTAACAAATTCAGATGAGCCCCAAACATGCAGAGTTCTCAAAAAGGGATAAACCAGTTAGGATTGATTGGAACCAACCCCTCAGATTGCAGATGAGCCCCCAATATATAAGATGCATGAACCTGGACCTGGAGTTACTTGATGGGAAGATGCCCCTCACCTTCCACCATCACGAGGTCTTACAACAAAAAAGTTAAAAATTAACATATTGTGAGAAACAGGCAAGTTATTTAATTGACATTTTACTATAAATTGACATTTTACTAAAAAGAAGGTAGCATTATTAATCTGCCTCACAAAACACTCTTAGGAATAATTCACTAAAGTAACTTTAATTGCTTAATGATAAAGTGGCAAAAATGCAAACACATTTCTTAATGATTTTTCCTTGCCCTCAGTAAAAACTTCTTTTCAGTGTCTAGAAGGTAATTTATTGGATTAGCACTCATGACTTTCGCCAGATGGAGAGTTAAAAGTCTCCCCAGGTACTTCATGATTTTTTACTTGCCATACTTTATGTCTCCAACCAAAAGCTCTGGGGCTCTGTACCAAAGAGTTGTCACATAATCGGTGTACACTTCCCCGGGGGCTCCCAACATGCAAGCAAATCCAAAGTCACACAGCTTCACTACTCCAGACTCGGAGATCAGTATGTTCTCTGGCTTTATATCTCTGTGTATAATCTAAGTCAAAAAGCATAGCATGAGAAAAATCAGGGGTATTGTTTGGGCATCAAACCAATAAGTGTAATACACTGTCCTGAGCCCCATGGTGACATGGTGCCATACCAAATGACAGACATGATGGATTCAGAGAAACCTGAGAAGATTTGTATGAACTGATACAGAATAGTGAGCAGAACCAGCAGAACACTCTGCACAATAACCATGACGCCATAAAGTCAAAGGACTTGAAAGACTCAGAACTTCAGCCAATGCAGTGGTCAGTCGTGACCTGAGAAAACTGATGAAAATGCATGCTTCCTCCTCCCTCTTGGCAGAGAAGCAATCAACTAGAGGTTCAACATGAAATACGTTCTCATATACAGCCAATATGTTGATTTGTTTTGCTTAGTTATGTTTATTTGTTACATGAGAGGGCTTCTACTCAAGGGAGATAGAGGGGTTGGTGGGTGGTGACAGTGATATTAAAAAAAAGAAAAAAGAAAAGAAATATAAAAATGACAATGAAGCATTTTTTAAAAATATACAGAAGAGACCAAAGGAGGTTCAGAAGGGGACATATAAGGAGGGCAGTTTTACTCCTATCATATTAAATGTAATATATTTTTTTAAAAACACCTAATACAAGTTTATAATTTCATACACACACATATTCTTTGTGGTAATATTCATGTTTGTTTAGTTCATAATAAAAAATAAAATTTAAAAATTGCAAGAAATATAAGAATATGGTCTATAATCTCATTATCATCCAGTTTTAGGGAAATTGGCATAAACACTTAAAAACTTAATAAAAGGGTCAAATAACAATCCAATACAATAGAAGAAAAAAGGCAAAAGAATATGGATCTTTACCTGAGAAAGAACTGAGAGATGGAGTGAATGAAGATCACAATGTGGATGAGGCATAAGGAGATGTGAAATGAGATAAGGAAATTTCAGAGTTTATGAACAAAGAAGTAGAATATTTGTGGTCACACAGAATGTGGCGATCTCTGTGTGTTGCTGAGGTGGAGTGGAGATATAGGTCATGGGAAATGAGGAGACAGAGGATCTAGAGTTTTAGGGTGTTTAAGAAGAGATGTTGAAATCCCCTAGTATGAGGGCAGGAGATGAAGAAGAAAGATGGTGAGCCAAGTACTAAATTCATTGAGAAAGGAAAGAAAATGCCGGGAGGTGGGAGTGGGGTGCAGGGAAGGAAAGTCTATAGATATCTTGGGTTTAAGATATTCAAACAGAAATGTTGGGAAACATCTAGAAATATGGGACTGAATCTCAGAACAAGAATAAGTGGGAAAGATAGATTTGGGAGACATCTGAATGGAAAAGACAGTTAAATCCATGTGAGTAGATGAGCTCTCCAAGAGGAAAAAAAAATAGATTGGGATAAAAAAATAACATAAATACATACATGCATATGTGGCCCAATTCTGTGGTGACCCAGGTTAAATATTATGTTGAGAACAAGAAAAAATATAAGTATTTTTTATTCCTTTTTTTTAAGAGCAGCAATATCCTAAATGACAAATCTGTCCTTCCTAAGTCAATTAAAGTCAACAAGGATTTATTAAATGCTTACTATGTGCCAAGAATTGTGCTAAGCACATAAAAAAAGGGCAAAAACGGTCCCTGTCCACAAGGAGCTCACATTCTAAAGAGGGAGACAACATGAAAATAACTATATAAATACACAATGCGAAGGGTAAATGGGAAGGAGGGACAGCTAGCAAAAGAAACGTGCTGCTCGTTCATAAGTTACTTGGGAGCAGAACGTAAAGGCGGGAAGGGGCCAGATTATAAAAGGCTCTAAAAGCCAAATGAGAATTTATGTTTGATTTTGGAGGTGATATGGGGCCACTGGAGTTTGTGGCTGGAGGACAATCCCTTTGGCAACTCAACGGAGAGTGCACTGGAGGTGGGGAGATTTAGGGGAGGGAGACCCAACCAAAAGCTATTCCAACAGTCCAGACATGGGATGAGGGTCTGCACCAGGATGGCAGCTGTCATGGGAAAAAAGAGTGTGTAAATGAGACACGGTCTAAGTGATAGGACCTGGTCATCGATGATACAGGGGACTTGAGTGTCTTCACTGCTCTCTAGCCTGCAGGGCTTTGTCCACCACGCTCATAGAATGCTCTTCACCTAGGAGCTAACTCCACCTCCGGATGACTTCTCACACTGGAAGTATCCTCTGCTGCTGATTGGCTAGCTGTTCTCAGAACCTCCATTTTGGGGAGGAGGCCCAGGCCAACAGTGTTGGCCAACAACACCATACCTGGCACCTTTTTCTCTCCTCTCCTCCACTTTTCATCTCCCTTTTCTGTGGTGTCTTCCCCACTAGAAGGTAAGCTCCTTGAGGCCAGGGACTGTCTTTCTGCTCTTGTGGGTATTTCCAAGACTTCGCCAGTGTCTGGCACATAGTAAGTGCTTTAAAAATGCTAGCTGACTGAATGATTGAGAGTGAGGACTTGAAAAGAATACCTAGGGAAGATAATACTGAAGTTTCGGTGCCCTCTACAGCAATGGGAAAGTGCAGAAAAGGGAGAATTTGAGAAGAAAGCTGAGTGCCACACACTGAGTTTAAGATGTTTGTGAGGCATCCAATCCAAGGTGTCCAATGGGCAGCTGGAAAAAACAAGACTAGGTCAGAAGGTCTGAGGAGAACTTAAGGTAGGATCAATAGATCTGAGGATCATTTGAAAAGAGTTAAAATTGAATCCATGATATATTGTAAAAAGCATTCTGCCCAAGGCTACCAACTTTGGTTTAACTTGTAAAAGTAGGTTTAAAAAAAACACAGAGGAAAAGGCACAGGTACAAAAATATTCCTAGGAACACTTTTGGTGAAAGGAAAGCAGTGGGAGAAAGGCGGAATAAAGCAGACCTTGGAGTCAGAAGAGCTGGGTTCAAGTCCTGACTCTGACATACTAGGTAGGTAAGGCTGAGCGGTAAGTCACTTAACATTTCTGCCTCAGTCATCTCTCTGTATTGTAAAGCATGCCGTAAGCAGATCTGGTAGAGGAGTTTCTTCACCAAGAAGGAGTTCTCCCTGCCTAGGAAATAAAAAAATAAACACTTGGAAGAAAAGCGGGTATCCACCAGCTGGGGAATGCTGAACAAATGGTGATATGTGAACATAACTGAATGTTATTGTTGTAAGAAACAATAAACATGAAGAATTGAGAGAAAATTGTGAAGACAAAAGTATAGAGAAAAATATTTGTGCAAACACAACAGATAAAAAAATGTTTATTCTAAAATATAAATTTACAAATTTATATATTACATAAAATATAAATTTATAAAATATAAAATTATATGTATTTATAAAATATAAATTTACATAAAAGGTAAATGGCCAAAGGACGTTAAGAATTTTCAAAAGAGGAAATGTAGGTTGTTAATAATCACATGAAAAAACACTAAACCCATGCAACAATCAGAGAGATGCAACTTAAAACAACTCTGAGATACCACCAGATTAACAAATATAATGTAAAACAATGAAATTCAAGGCCGGCAGGCTTGGGGGCATGCAAAGACTCACATTCTTTGGGAAACTGTCAATACAGAATCTTTTCAGGGTTAACCTGTCAGCTCATAGTAGAACCTTCACACACAGCCTGTCTAACTCCATCTATTGTTGGCAAAATACACGGAGAGCGGCGTTTGTTTTTTTTTAAATGAGAGGAGTCATTTGTTCCGAAATGTTCACAGCAGCATTTTTTGTAACTTAAAACAAAACAAAATACCTGAAAGAAACCTAAATGTCCCGTAACAGAGGAATGGATAAATAAATGGTAGTGAGCTGTCATAACGACGTACTACAATGTACTGAAGATCCACAAGTTTGAGGAATATAGAGAAAAATTAAAAAGCTTTATGAAATAATGCAAAACAGAAAAAAAAAAAAGAAATCCAGAAGTATACACTGACTTTTGTTGTTGTTCAGTTATGTCTGGCTCTTCATGAGGGAGAGAGAAGGGGAGGGGGAGGGGAGTGAGAGGAGGAGGGTCTCAGGTTCCTCACTTGTAAAAAAAAATACTTTCACAATTTACTTTACAAAGTAATTGTGAGGAAAGCATGCCATTACATCTTAGAGGACTGTGTAAATGTGAGTTCCTGTCAACAAAAAGAGAGAGAGAAAGAGAGAGAGAGAGACAGAAAGAGAGAGAATCAAAGAATTGGCATACAACTAAAGAAACCAGAAAAGCAACAAATCAGAAAACTCCATCTACAAAAATAACAATAGATCTCCAAAAGTCTCATGATGAAAAACACTATCCACATCCAGAGAAAGAACTATGGAGTTTGAAAACAGATCGAAGCATACTATTTGCTCTTTTTTTTTTCGTTTGGTTTTGTTTCCTCTTTCTTGTAGTTCCTCCTATTGGTTCTAATTCTTCCTTACAACGTGACTAATGTGAAAATATGTTTAATAGGAATGTATATGTACAGCCTATATCAGATTGCGTGCTGTCTTGGGGAGGGAGGTGGGTGGGAAGAGAGTGGGAGAAAATTTAAAACTCAAAAGCTTATGGAAGTGAATGTTGAAAAGTAAAAATTAATTAATTAATTAAAAAAAGAATAATAATAGATAACATTGATATATCACTTTAAGGTCTGAACCCCACAGCAGTGTTGGAGGGCAGGTACAGCAGGCCTCAGTATTCCCACAGAAGTTGAATTGAATGGCAGGTCTTCCCACTTCTAAGTGTAGCATTCTAGCCGACACACCACACCGACTCATCTATATCCAATTACTCCTTTTATAAATCATCCAAAGACAGCACTCATCGCATCTGTCTCATAATCTGAGTTTATTTCTTTGTTAAAGCTCCACCCAGAATTGCCTTTTCTATTTCATGTTAAAATTCTGATCTTCCTATTAAACTCCCTTGGTTTGAAGGATTTCAGACTTGCTTATTTGGACTTCGGTGGCTGAATAAAACGGATTAAGCTAACAAGCCAAGCCATTTCATCAAAGCCTGGAAAGTTTAAAACAAACTCTCTTTTAAAAAATCATTTCTTTCCAATTGTCTACCACTAGTGAAATTCGAAACCAACCAATCCAACTGGCTCTCTCTCTTTTTTTTTTTTTGAGGTAATTGAGGTTAAGTGACTTTTCCAGAGTCACACAGCTAGTGAGTGTTATATGTCTGAGGCTAGATTTGAACTCAGGTCGTCCTGACTCCAGGGCCAGTGTTCTATCCACTGTGCCATTCAACTGCCCCAACTACTCAATTGGCTCTTTTTAAAAGCAAAGAAATTGGCCCAGGATTTAATTGACTTACTCAAGGTCACACAGGTAATAAACATCAGAGACAGGATTTGAACCCAGACTCTGACTCCAGAGCCAATGCTTTTCCCACTGTCCTGCGATGCTTCTGTCTCATGCTTATCCACAGTGTCACATAGAAAGCACCTTAGCTTCTTGACAATGTCAAAAAAAAAAAGGAATGAAAACGAATGGTCATATTTCTCTTTTAAAATCATCTCATTTTGTTGTTTTAAAATAAAAGTTTATCTGGAAACAAAATGTGGACTCACTAATTGGGGAAAGTCTGCACATATTGTGGCATACAGATGTAATGAAGTATTACTGTGCCATAAGAAAAAACATATATGAGGAATTCAGAAAAAGAAAGGGGAAAAGGGGGAAAGAAAGTAGAAGCCAGAGACCAGTCTCTGATGCAATGTGAACGGACACAACGCTAAAAGATGGCTGAATTCAGAGCAAATGCAATGGCCAATACGAGGTTCTGAGGGCAGCTGATGAAAGAGACATCCCTACTCTCAAAAAGCAAAGCACTATGAATGACAAATGGTGCACACTCTGGGGTTATTCTGGGGGTCTATTTCTGTCAGTTAGCTTTGCCTAACTATTTTTTCTATTTTAAAGGAAATAACTGGCATCAATAAAACTTTTTGAATCAAGGTTTAGATTTTATTACAGTTTGCTACAGTCTTTTGTGCAGGCAAATAACAGTCAAGAGTGGTTTTTTGGCACAATGCAAAAGTAGGGGCCCGCCATGCTACTAGAACAGATTTTAAATTTAAACACAAACACATACGCTCTATTTTGATCTAGTCAATGTTTAACCACATCTCACAGTCACATTAAACATTAGGAGGACTTTCTTTTATAATAGCAATGAAACACTGGAATGAGTTAAGGTAGGAAAAAAACTTTAGGAAAGGAGGTTCCATAATAATAGCATTAAGTCAACCTTGCCAAAAAATACTTACCTATGATTTGGGGAGAATAAGAGACTTATTCTCCTGGCAAACCATCTTAAGCTTCTAACTAATTTGCCATCATCATTAACACATTTTCCTTTGAAGTCCTATAATCAAGCCATTTTAATGTTTTATTTCCTTCCGACCTCCTGCGCCCCTCTCTCCCAAAAAGAAACGGAACTGACAGAGCCCTGGAGAGTTCATCATAAGATCACGTGGAAGAGGCACAGAGTCCACGCGAAAAGAATTCTAAGCTGATCCAATGTCCAAAAGAATTCAGTCTGAAAAAAAGCTTGGGAACTGGCTCACTTAGGGAAGAATATGTTTGATTTCTTTTAATCTAGAAATCTTGCTTCTTTGGATTTTGTAATTAAAATAAAATGAAATGGTTTTAAAAGCCCAACTCGTATATGACTTCTTCCAGTTTTACCCATAAGAACTATTACCCATGATAGATTATACAAATTATCAAGACAAAAATATCTTTCACAAATTCATTTTAAAAGATATTTTAAATTTTTTGACAATTTATTTTTGTTATTTGAACACAAAATGTAAACAAACACCAGAATCTCAAGAAAGTTCCTATAGTTTTCCTTTTCTGTAGACTAAAATGCGACACCAACAATTTTTATTCACCAAAAGTTCAGGCTATATTGTATTTGTAAATTTTCTCTATCCTTTTCCTCCAACGAAATCCTTAAACACCCCAAATTCCACAGCCTGCCCAAAGCCTGTTCTATCTTACTTCTCCTTCCACTTGGGTTTTGTAATTTTTAAAAAATGTTAATTTAGCAAATTACCTCATATTAATACACAGCATTGGGATAAACTACTTTTTTCTTCAAAACTGAAACTTAAATGACTTAATCTTACTGCTGCAACAACAGCTTTTTCTAGAAAGTAGTTAGGATTTTATCAATAAACATCTCTTGCCTCTATTTCTACATTAACAAATACAGGTTCACTGACCTTCAATAGCTTGATTTCTCGGGTGACAATTGTTTTAACTATTTTGTCACCTTCACTCTCCAGGAACTTCTTAATGGCCACTATCCTTCCATTGTCTTTATTCCTACATTTCATCACTGCTCCACAGCTGCCCTCACCAAGCAGGCTTAGGCTCTCATATTTCTCCATTTTAAAATAACAAAATCAAGAGGAATTTGTCTTGCTCTGAAAACCAGAATACAAGGTGAACAATACCCAGCACATTTGTTTTCATGAGTTTACCCACCAATGATCTGTGCCCAGCTTCTTGAGGCTCTTTCATGAATGCTGTCTCCTCCTACCCGAGTGGAATTTTACCCAAAGACTAGCCTGCAGAAGCATATCCTGTCCCCCCTAATCTCCCACTATCCATCTCCCATCTCTCTCTCTCTCTCTCTCTCTCTCTCTCTCTCTCTCTTTCTCTCTCTCTGTGTGTCTGTCTCTTTCTCTCTCTCTGTCTCTCTGTATCTCTCTCTGCCTCTCTCTCTCTGTCTCTCTATCTCTGTCTCTCCGTCTCTACCTCTCTGTCTCTGTCTCTCTATGTCTGTCTCTTTCTCTCTCTCTGCCTCTCTCTGCCTCTCTCTGCCTCTCTCTCTGCCTCTCTCTCTCTCTCTCTGTCTCTCTCTGCCTCTCTCTGCCTCTCTCTCTGTCTCTCTCTCCCCCTTCTTCCCTCCCTCCCTCTTTCTCACATATTTGGAAGGGGCCTCAGAGCATCTTTATTCTAATCCATACCTGAAGAGGAATTCCTTCTACAATATCCAATTGAGCAGACATCCAGCCTTGCCTGAGGACCTGCAGTGAAAACAAATTTCTAAGCAGCCCATCACACTTTTAGAGAGCTCTCCTCAGAAAGCTTTTCCTGATGTCAGGGTAGGGTTGAAATCACCCCATGTTGGCTCTGTGCCTAGACTCAGTGACAACACTTTTTGATTGAATCAAATAATCAGAACAGAGTGTTAGGTGGCTGGTAAACCTGTTCTGGTTGTGTGGAGACTGGGTCGTGCTCTAAGTAATTTATATCAAAGGGAGAGCTATCTCAGAATGGGGGCAGGGGGAGATTCTGAGCCTCTGGACTGGACAGGTCGGAGAAGATTGGCATGAAGCAAAGGGAGGACTGAGCAGTGTCGGAGAAGAGATACCCAGGATAGTCACTGGCTCTCCAGGATCGGGGAACGCAGATGAGAAAAGCACCTCGAAAAGGTCAGCCCTTTTCCCAACTTCTCCTCCTCATGCCTGACAGTTTAACCCAAATGTTTCTAGTAAACTGAGTTTTGCCTCAACCACCAGTTGGCCAGGGGTTTGCCAGAGATAGATATAAATATACACACTAAGCATAGAGTGTAACCTCCACCAAGGTGTTAGGATTGTGGCTGAACTCAGAACTTTTCATCTAAAGCCAAAAAAGGAACCAAGGGAGATTTAGGGGCCATTACACTGCCCCCATGCTAAAAATCCAACCTCTCTCAAACTTCCCAACTGCTTTTCACTGTGCCTTAGTAGCCAAATAGAATGTGTCTACTTCTTAAACCACCTAATAGTTCTTCTATTTGAAGACACATATGATGCCCTCCATAAGGCCTCTCTTCTGCAGGCCTTCAGCTGACCCTCCTTGAGCCAGATCTGCCTCCCCAACACCATCCAGTGCTTTGTCAATGTCCTTTCTGACAGGTGGTACCTGGAACATCCTTCAGATGAGGCCTGACCAATGCAGAGTGAAGGAGCTTGTTACTTCCCAAACTCTAGGCACTGAAAATGCCTTTTTGAATGCAGCAGTCTGAGATCAAGGGACTGGTTTTGACTCTCTCCCACTGCTGACTCTTACTGAGCTTGAAGCACACCCATAACCCTTCTACACAGACTGCTGTCCAGCCATACTCTGTGTGCTTGAGACTTCCGGCCCACCCCCAGAACTTATTTTTTTAAGGATAGGTGGTTTGTTGTTTTTTTTTTTAATTTTATCCACCCATACAATTTCTAATCTTGTTTTCCAGTTTCAGTTACATGCTTTGGACACCCACATGCATTTAACAATAACCTAGGAAAAGTAGATGTAATTTTCTCAGTAGAGAGGCCAGGTCTTCAGATGGGGTGGGGGAGAAGAAAAGTGTGGGAGGCTTAAGAAAAGAAAAGAAGGTTTAGAAATAGCTTCTGTGGGGAGTGGCATAGGGAATCAATCGGAAGGGATTATTCAAAGGACCACCTGGCCTAGATGAGATTGGATAACATGAATTTGTACTACACCCCATCAGAGAGGTAAGACTTCCAAAGACTTCCAAAAACTCAGTTCAGCAGCACATGAGTAGGAGCAGAAGAAGTGGGTGGTGGGCAAAAAGGACAAGCAGGCAAAGCATTTAAGATCACAGAGGACATTATAGGGTTAAAATGGCTAAGTATTTGCACTGAGACTGGGTCTGAGAAAGTACTGAAGCATAAAGGGGTGGGAGATCTCAATGAGGGTGAAGAATAAATAGGTTTAGAAGAGATGAGGCATAGGGAGAGGTGGAAGAATAGGAAGCTATGATGGCGCAGCTAGGTGGCGCAGTGGATAGAGCACCGACCCTGAATTCAGGAGGACCTGAGTTCAAATCCGATCTCGGACACATAATACTTACTAGCTGTGTGACCCTGGGCAAATCACACATTGCCTAACCAAATTAAAAAAAAAAAGCCTCTGCATGGCAAAAGGAGATTGGTAGCTTTAAAAAAAAAAAAATAGGAAGCTGTGGTCAGATAGAGGAGAGTCAGAGTTTCTAATTAGGGAAACAGGACATTTCTGTGTGATGGTGAAATCCAGAATGTGGCCTGGGGTTCAGTGAAGGAATAAGTTAGGCTACTTTAAACAGGCTAAAGAATTGGGAGTTTGAAAGAGTATCTATGTGAATATACAAGTCCTCAAGTACAAGAGAAGGAGTTGAGGACTGGAGGAAGATGGTAAGCCAACGGCTGAACTCGTTGAGAAAGCAATGAGAATAACCTGGGTCCATGCACTACAGCCACCATTATTGGGGCTGGGTGGCAATTTTTGATAGCATTTGCTTTAAAGGAGAAAAGGTGGCTTAGTGATGGAAGGAAAAGAAGAATCCAGAAGGGACAGTGACAAGTAAGGAGTCTCCTGACTCACCCACCAGGACTGTTAGGGAGAGAGGGGAAGGTGGTGGTGAGACAAAGTTTAGCCACATTTTTAATGAAAGCTGGATGAAAGATGGAGGGAGTGTGAAAGGTGAAAGAGGTCTAGAATGAAGGGGAGTGTGTTGACTGAGATACAGAGGATATTAAAAGGAGTTGCTGTCCTTCATTCTCGAAGAGGACCAATGACTTCAGGAGGGTGATGTCTTCACTTGCAAGTGAATTGGATTTAAAGGGAGTGGCACGAGATTAGGTTGAACAGGTGGGCTGGCACCAAGACTAGGGAGGTTATCAGGGTCAGGAGTTTTCATTTTATTCAGCAGGCAATGAGGAGCAGAGAAGCAGCATGATCCCAGCAATAGAAAGGTTACTCACATAGCAGTATGGAATATGATCAGGAGAGAGAATGGGCTGCCAACAGAGTTCCTAAGGAAGGCCGTAACAAGAATGATGACACTGGGAAGGAAGAGGATTCCAGATATGAGAGATCTTGGAGGAAGAAACCACAGGGAATTGCCAACTAAATGCATCGGAGCATGAAAGGGAAGAGGCAAAGCTGACTGACTCCAAGTCTGTGAGCCTAGGATAATGGTGTGCCTGTCCTCACAGCAGCAGAAACTAAGCCGTCATAAAAAGAACAGATCTAGAGGGGAAGATGGCTTCATTTTGATGCGCCATATTAAATCCAGGAGAAAATACCCAGGCAGCTGGAAATATGGAACTGGGACTCTGGGGAAAGGTAAGGACTGAGGGTGAGAAACAGATTGGGGATCCGCCTGCATAGAGGTGATAACTGAAGCAATGGGACTGGATGAGATGATTAATCTTAATTATTATCTTAATTAAGTACTGCAGATTTATAGACCTTTATAGCTCACACAAGGGTTTCCTCCCAGCAACTTGGTGAAATAAATAATACCAATATTATCCTCCTTTTATAGATGAGGAAACTGAGACCCCCCCAAAAGAGGTTAAATGATTTGCTCAAAGAAATAAATGTTGGAGCCAGGGCTTCTGTGTTCAAGAGCAGTGCCTCTCTCCACTATACTATGTTACCTCTTCAGTAATGGAAATAATAACTGGTTAATGGAAATCTTGATGGATTCATCCCTATTCTACTAAGAATTAATAAAAATACAATCACAGAACTCAGAGAGACTTGGAAAGAAAGACTTGAATGAACTGATAGAGTGCAAAGTAATTAGAGTAACCAAAACAATTTATGCAATAATAATAATAATAATGTAAAGGAAAATATTAATAAAGGACTTCAGAACTTGATCAATACACTATCTAATCATGACTTCAGAGGACTGATGGTGAAGCGTACTTCCTACCTCTCAGCAAGAGGACTCTAGGTGTAGAATGATGCTATAGACGTGCACAGAGCGTGAGTTAGGTGTGCATACCTGAACTACTCTCTATGCACACCTATGAATGAAGCACACTCTTGAAAGAAGCTGATATGGCCAATGCATTGATTTGTTTTGTTTGTCTATACTTATTTATTACAAGGAAGAGTTCTATGGGGGGGAAGGGTAGAAATTTTAAGAGATAGTAGTAAATCAATAAAATATTTAAAATGAAAAAACCATAACCATAGGATCATCACTCTTTTTAAATCTTTCAGTTTGATTCATATATATGGTTCATATTTGATTCATATGTATAGAAGATTATTACACTGGACCCAGTCTTTGGTTTATAAAGATGATTGCTATGTTCTATTAAGACTATTACACACACACTGCGACTTCAAAGCTGAATATACTTTTAGCAACCTGCTTTTGAAATTCCCAAAAGAAAAAGATAAAGCTATTATTATTTATTAATAGAGGTAAAAGTAGTAGAAATGTTTACAATAGAGTTTATTTAGGAGGAGAAGCCATTTTTAGAGATACGAAACCCTTAGGTCACCTAGTTAACATTCCTATGATTAGACCTATTTCCTAAAGTACAATTCACATATTTTCCAGTGTTCTACCTAGTTAAAATATTTCTTTATGTTGTACTTAGGTCACTGA